AACTGACTCAAGAGCTAAAATAAATAAAATATTTATTTTCATTAGAGTGATGAGGGAGTCCTTTGGTATTCGGTGTAGCAAAAAGTTTGTTAACCAAGCAGATATTGATAGCAACCTGAAGAAAGGTCCATTTTAGTAGTTGGAAGTCAGACCCGGTAGGGGTAGTAGTATTGTGAGAAATTAGGTCAGATGTCAGTCTGTAGCGTTTTCTCTCAGCTCTGAAATGTCAGTAGCAGATGACCTCTTGACTGCTTCTTCGCACATCACGTGTGGCTGCATTCTTTTGTTTTGTCCTCTTTTGTGATCATTTTGGTTTCCTCTCAGCATTCAAGCCCCATCTGCTGGTAGCCCTAAGGTATCAGGTTTTATACCCTTTTGAACAGACTCCAAGTTTATGGTGAGAACTTTGGTTTCAGCTAATCATCAGAAAGTGTCTTTGTGTCAATTTTTCTGATTGGCCAAATTATTTTATTTTCCAACTTTCCTTTCTTTTTAATTGTTTTTTATAACAGAAGTTATGTGTGGAGCCTCCCCGATTTTTGATATTTTTTAGTCACAAATAAGTAGGCTTGGCTCCTGCAAACTTCTCATGTTTTTGGCTTGGTTTAGTCTTTTCCTCTTCATCTTTTTATTTGAGGGTTGCTTTCTTGTAGGTTGAGAGGGGTATAGAAAGAAAAGTTTAGAGAAAGAGAGAGAGAAAAAAGATATAAGGGTTTTAAAGGAAAGTGTAAATGCCTTATTTTAATTTGAATTCTTTTTAGCTTTGTTTATATTTTATTTTCATTATCAGGACTCATAACAATTTTATCATCTTAGATCTTTCATAGGCCAAATAATTTTCCATGGCCTTTTTTCAGTTTCAAGCTGGTTAAAGCAGCATATCTTCTGTTACATAACATGTACAAAAACACAACAACTTATTTACCAATCCTCAAGTTCAACAGATACTACTAATAAAATCATATTGTTAAACGATCTTCTCAATAAAGGTGTATAATTGTTTTACGTAGCTGGCCCAGTGTATAATGTATAATATATAATGATAATATATTATAATTCTGCTTGTTCCTTAATTGATTAGCATGTATGTTATGCCTTGCCATTACCACACATAAATAATGAGCCTTTCCTGTTTCATTGTGAGGATGAATGAAAGAAATGGATATTAGTTATCAGTTATCTCCTGTTAATTCTCTTTTAACCGGGTATTAAACTCACACTGTTTGGGTCCTGTCATTGGATCTAACCAACACCTTTATCCACTGTGTCATGTGTCTTGGAGATAACTGACATCTATTAAACATGGCACGTGGAAATAGAACAGTCTACCCCAGTGAGCAAAATAAAGGGTTCAGTTTGACATTCCAACCACCTGAAGAATGCTGGAGCATACAACGGCTGAAACGTAATAAATATGGCGACAAAGATGAGGACAATAGTCCGAATAATGTAAATAGTGTTCAGAAGATTCAATTTAAAAAAACACAAAATTTTGGTGGGTATTTCTAGTTTTAAAAATAGTTCTTGCTTTTTTAATAGCAACACTCAAAATTCTTGTTTACCATTTTACAAATTCTGGTATTTGATAAGATTTTATATCAAGTGCTGCAAAAGATTTTAATAGAATTTATTCATCACCTTCAGATAACCTACAAAACCTGCAGATTTTTGTGCAATGTTTCTTGTAAAGAGATAAACTCAAGTCTGTGTTTCAATTTACCTTTTCTGTATGAAAACACACCAGACTCTTTATAGCATGCAGTCAATGTTTATCCCAATAAGGGGATATAAGATTTGTTTAAAGAAATTATCTAAACTTAGTTCCAAGTTTAGAGAAAGTGAGAGAGTAAAAGTCATTTTTTTTTTATCTAAAGAAGATACATGTCAAATTTTTTTTTTTTTTTTTTTTGGTGGGGAGGGAATTTTTTATACTTTCTCTGAGATTAGAATATGATTCTATTCACTTACTGTTTAAAAACAAAAAAAAGAGAGAATATCTAAGAATGTTGGATTAGAGTAAATTTGTCCGTGGGAGTGTCAATACAGATCACTGGGAATTACAATCTTGCAACAGAACTACAGGCATGCATTCTTCTAACTTATACCACAATATTCCTGTGCCTGTGTTCAATGGTGTCATGAAGAGGTTCACCTGGAGTTTAATTAATTGATTTTTATTTTACTGCTTATCTTACATTTAAAGCCAGAAAATATTTTTAGATTGTATTTTTTTTTTTTTAGGGAAAATCATTATTTACTGATACAAGTTCTACTAATTAATCCATAGCTGGGGGGAATAGTTGGATTCATACCTTTCCCAAGAGTATTTGCACAAAAGTGGATATAATGAACCCAACTGCAATTTGTGGAGAACAGGAAATAAAACCAATAAATATTTTTAAATTATAAGAATTTTTTGAAGATAATAATGATTTACTGATACAAGTCCTACTAACTAACCCATAGCTGGGGAGAGAGAAGAGGTGGACTCATACCTTTGCCAAGAGTATTTGCACAAAAGTGGATATAATGAACCCGACTGCAATTTGTGGGGAACATGAAATAAAACCAATAAATATTTTTAGATTATAAGAAATTTTTGAAGATAATAATGATTTACTGATACAAGTCCTACTAATTAACCCATAGCTAAGGGGAGAAGAGGTAGATTCATACCTTTCTCAATAGTATTTGCATGTAAGTGAATATAACAAAACATACTGGAATTGTAACTTGACCCTCTAATTTCCATGCAAACATTTAATCAATCAGTTATCTAAATACTGACCAGGCTTGACGCTGCTTAACTTCATTGGTTGTATCAGAACTGGTGCTTCAACTTGATATGGGTATAAATCAGCATCACATGGGGGATTAAATGACATTCTGTTGTATTAAGTAATTGAGATTTGACTTAATGTCATTTGTGTAGGCAAAGCATACCTAGGGAACGATAGTTTTTGTTTTTATCATTTCATCCCAGGCAAGGGAATCAAAACCACTAGGATGCAATGGGTTACTGAGAGTGAAAGAAACAGGGAGGACAACAAAACAGGATTCACAGAGACTGAAGATGACATTTGACATTGCATTTAAATTCTTAAAGATTGTAGTTGAGAGGAAAGCAGGAAGTCGTAATAGAGTTCCACAAGTGAGGAAAGGAAAGTGCAAGAAAAGAAGCTATTAGCACAGAACTTATGGTTACAACTAGCAATTTCAACAGTGAAATTATGAAACTTAACTGCCAATCTAGTACTGCCTTTAAATTCATGATCTCAAGGTACCAACAAGGAAAGCTCATCAGAAAAATTACTATAAAAATATTTATAGAAAAAGCCAGGGAAGCTATGTTTCAGTGGTGGACAAGAGACTGATAATATTGTGGATTCTTCTTTGAATTTTGTCAAGAATCTCTAGATATAAAACAGAAGCACCAGACCAAATGTAACAGCAATATTCGATGCACAGACAAATGGCAGACTTATACATGTACAAGACAGATTCTGGCATGAGAAAATTATCTAGCATGACATTGTGGACCAACTTTCCTAGCAGTAAACTTTACAATTGATTCAATATAATCATTCCACTCTATATCAGCAGAAAACCTGAGACCAAGCAGAAACAGTAAGTAGTTCTTGTGGAGGTTAGCATCAGCCATGCTGATGACAAGCAAAAAACATTCTTTAAGATGATTAATAGAGAGCAGTTTCATTTTGGTGGTGTGATGTGTGGTGCCACAAATTAAAATTCTCACCTGCCTTTGGTGTTTGTGGAAGTAATGGTGCCAGAATATTCTTCAACCTGTTCTGCTGAGATTCCTGCAACACAAAGGTGATATGATATTCTGGTAGGATTGATGCTTGTTCACAAGATGACTGCAACTCAACATACTCTACAAAATGTTCAAGAACTTTACTGAAGTCAGTACAATCAACAAATCACACCTCCATTGAACATGTATATGACATGATGGGACAACTCCTGACTCTTTCAATTAGCCCACCTGCAATTCTTGCTGCATTGCATCAACATGTGCCATAAGCATGGAATACTGAAATATGGTATTTGCTATCTATACAACTGTATACACATAAAAGTACAGGCATGTATTAACACCCAAGGAGGATATACAATGCATTGATAAAGGAATTGAACACTGTTGAAAAATGTTTCATGTTGCTACCTGGGAATGTATTGATCTGTATATTTTAACGTTTACTGGAATCCAGCTATATCCCCTGTACTTTTAATCAAGAATAAACTGAAACACATATCCAGAGTGCTGTAATTTCTTCCACCTGTGCACAATGCACTGTTTCATCTGGTATTTTTCTTGTTAGCTACTAAATTCTTTTCTTTTTACTCTTGAGGAAAATTTTAAGTAGTTACAAAAACTCAGAAACCATGTCTTAGCCCCTTGTGGCAAATTACAAATTATCATCAAGTATGTTAGTGTTATTGTTATTGCCCTTGCCTTTTGGTTGTTGTTTAGTGCCACCAGGTGGTGGCTTCTATAAAATGTTGGCAGCCATATTGAAAATATTTCATTTGGTCAATTGTCAATATTCAGACTAACAGGAGGATTAACTTATTGCATATGCAATTGATTTATTGAGGATTAACAAAGCATGTTTTCTTTGATATCAAAGAGAACAAGAAATAATTTTTTAAGAAAGAAAGAAAAAGAGAGAGAATAAGAAAGAAAGGAAGAAAAAGAGAGAATAGAAAGAAAGAAAGATTGATTGATTAATTTTCTACAGTTTATCAATTTTTGCAGGTTATTTAAAGCCAGAAAATATTTTTAGATTGTAAGAATTTATTTTTGGAGATAATAATGATTTAGTGATATAAGTCTTACTAATTAATCCATAGCTGAGGGGAAAAGAAGTGGATTGTAAGAGGTGTAAGTGAATATAACAAACCCAATGGGAATTGGAGCTTGGCTCTCAGATTTCCTATTCCAAGCCATTATTCATTACACCACCTGCACATCTAAGCTTACAGCACCTAGTATACCCAAGTGGTTACTCATCTAAGTACTGATCAGGCTTGATGTTGCTTAACTTCAGTGATTGTATGGGAACTAATGTTTAACTATGATGTGGTTGTAAGTCAAACAAAGAAAGGGAGAGAATAGAAAGAAAGAAAGAAAGAAATAAAGAAAGAGAGAGGAAAGAAAGTGAGTGAGAATAGAAAGAAAGAAAGAAAGAGAGAGGAAAGAAAGTGAGAGAGAATAGAAAGAAAGAAAGAAAAGAAAAATAAATTAAAAACAAAAAGAAAACAGGACAGAAAAGAAATAAAAGAATTTAGCATTGAAAAAGAAAGCTTTTAAGAAGCTAAATAGGGAAACAATGAATGAAGATGCGGAGAAATTCTCAAGATGAAAGAAAGTCTTGAGTGAAAACAGACAAAAATACAAGAACATGATAAAAAGTAAGACAGTGCAAAGGATGAGAAGGACAGAGAAAAGTGAAAGTGAAAGTAAAGAGGAAATGAGAAAGGAATCAGATGAAGAACAATATCGACAGCAGGTCTTTCTATGAATCTACGCCAGATCAAAGTAGATTATTTTAATCCTGGCTTCCTTTATTCTGAAAATAAAACAATCCATTTTGGTGGCACGTCTTTGTGCCAAGAAAGATTATAAGAAAAGGCAATATGGTGAGGACAGGTTCGGCAGAAAAGCTGAAAGCTAATAATATCGAAGTCAAATGCACGAGAGTTCAATGACCAGTAAACATGCACATGAAAAGATACGGCAACATACTTTTATTCGGATACTGCTCTCATCTGAATATGAAACATTTTTATCAGTTTATAAGTGCTTGATAAGAAGTGTGAAGATCAACTGAAAAAAAAGATTTGTTTTAAGGGCTTCCGGGTTTGTGTGCATGTGTCTTTCCCTCCCTCTACACACACACACATGTACACACAGATATACATGTAAGTAAACATACACACCATACACACAAAATATCTGGCTACTAGTTTTCCAAGCACACCCGTCTCCTCAGACGGCTTGCCAATCCCTACTGCAGATGCTTGCTCAGGGATATTTGTTTGTAGTCTGTACTGCAACTATGCTGTGCATATCTTAGTTGTATTTTCTAGAGAGAGCATATCAGCTGGCATGATCAATAGTTTGTACAAGGCTGGTACACTTAAACCCTCAGACACGATGACTTTTGACTTCATGCTAGCACAATCATCGATGACTTCAATGACTACCCAATTTCTCTCACAAGGATTATGTCAACCTGTGATATGGCTTAACAAACTAAACGTATCACACATTGGGATCAACTCTCCAAGCTGATAACATCAAGAAGGCAATTTCCTGACAAATCAACTTTGGTGGGATTTGAACCTGGTTCTCATGGTTGAAAAGCAAATATTCTAACCACTCAGCCCCATATGCACAAATATATCTAGGCAGTTATTTTTAATTTATGCACATTCTAATTAATTTTTTCCTTTATGCAGGAACCAATGAAAGGTTTTTGTTCAAACTTTTTATTTAATTTTTCTACAGTTCAGTCCATTCTTTTACTTTCCAGATAGAATTTGAGCATAAATTGTCCTATGCTCTTTGAGCACTTTCATAAACCATTATCAAACGGTTTTGTATGTGTGTGTTTGTATGTGTTGATAGGCTCTGTTCCTATGTATATTCATTGTGTTTCTATGTTGGTTTTTAAGTGTCATATCTTTATGCGGTGATGTCATGCTAGACTTTTTAGTTTTCATAGTACATCAATTTGAGATGTGTTGTTATTTTTTGTTTTTATTATTAATTGGGAAACATATTTAGTCTATTTCTAATGTGTGTGTTTATATATATATTAATCAGATATGCCTAAAGGAGATTTTTGCTGCCTAAATACACAAAATATATATATATATATATATATATATATATATATATATATATATATATATATATATATATATATAAGGAAATGGATTAAATCCAATGATTTTTAATATATTTTATGTTTATATGTTATTCTTTCATAGATACAATTTATTTAAGTAAATGCTCTTTTTTTTAATTAAACAGTATTAATTATATAATACAAATAAACAGAAAATATATCAAATAAATATATTACTAAATTAATCAGACTTAATCAATTTCAGTATATGTTGTCATTATTAAGGCTAAGATACATTTTGTGAGAAGATATGATCAATTGAGAAAAATCAATTATGTATTTAAAACCAGTAATTCATACTTTGCTAACTAGATGCTTCTTTGTAGAATGGTATAGCACATCAGATCAAATGATGTTTTCCATATAGGAATACAGGTTCAATTCCAGTCAGAGAGCAGATATTTTCTATAAACATTCAGACCAATAAATGTAATATTGTTTTATTAAAAAAAACACAGCATTTATTTAAATAAATTGTATCTATAAAAAAATAATGTATAAACAGAAAATATATTAAATACATGTGTATGTTTCATTAAAAATTATTCACACACACATGCACACACATATATATTTCCTCAAGCTAATTATGTTATATGTTGTTTTCCTTTGTCCCTCTTTCCTTCTATCTGTCCCATGAGTATCAGATTTTCCAAGCCCTCTTTCCTCATTATGTGCCCTAGAAACCTGAACTCTCTCTTCCTGATGTTAAGTATTAGTTTCCTACTTAGGAGATTTTTCCAGTTTGTCATTCAATTACACATATAAGTTTCATATACTGATCTGTATATCATATCTCCCATATGTTTCATCTGCTAACTAAAATTGTCATATTTCTGTCTTGTCATAGCTGGCAGTTATGGTTCTCCACAATTTCCTATCTTTTGTAGCTCTTAGTAATGTTTGTTCTTTTACTATCCCTCCCAGTCATATTCTGCCATTCATGTGCACAAGCTTTTTGGATATGTTACTTGCTGTTTCCATCTGACCCTCTTGCTCTTGATATGTCCTGTGAGTGTTAAATTCTCCAAGTCATCTTTTCTCATTATGTGTCTCAGAAATATCAACTGTCTCTTTGTGGTCCTAAGCAAAAGTGTGTTTTCATTTCCATTTTGTGGTTGAATCAATGAAAAAGACGCTTGTGGATTAACTAAGCATTTACAAACTCCTTTTGACCAGAAAAGACGAAAAAAAATAAATAATTTTGATGTTAACAGAAATATTGATTAGCTAATTCGTTGTTTTTGAATGAAGGAAAATCGCTATTGTCATTTTTTTAAAATGTTTCTGAAAAATCTCTATTTAAAATAAAAGCCTTTTACCATTTATTCTTTCTACACATGAACTGTGTACATTAACATATCAAATAAGCGGCAATAACGAGTCTTGTTAAAACAGCCTACATTATGGATTATAATATATTAATGATTTCATTGCCAACAAACTACCCATTATCTGAAATCACAATCAAGTTATTAACAAATGAAAAAATAAAGAAACTTCATCATTATAAAAAAAAAAACAATAACTTTAAAAAGTACAAAGAATAAAATATGACAACCACTTATAAACCTCAAGTGTGGCATTAATTCAAACGTCTCTTCAGAGCAATTGTATTCTTTGGGCAAACTCAAACATTATTCACGCCTTCCTGTACCAGGTACTGTTTCATTGTTTGATTTTGCCAGCATGTCGGCTGGCGTCTGGATTTGAGCCATCATTGAAAGGCTGTTGAATGTCCAGGGGCAAGTGAAGTTCTGCACTTGTTTAACCAAGGCTAAATGTCATATTACAAATAAAAAAATCATATTATACAAGTTAAGCAGCCATACTAATATTTACTCAGCAAATTTTAAACAAGGCATAAAGTTGAGACAGAGTGCTTGTGATGACTTTTTTATTTAACACATAATTTACCTTCCAAATAATCTGTTGAAAGATATACACACACAAACGTGTATGTTGGTGTAATGAGTTCAGGTTGTGAGGTTCCCAGAAATTGCCAGATTTAACTCACAACAAATTTGTAAAATTAATCACTCTACACCAACCATGACATTTCTTACTTACTCCTTTAAGAAGAATGTTCCACTCAGAAAGTTTCTTCCTAAGAGATGCTACTTTGAGAAATGTGGATGCTTTCCTGAACACAACACTCTTAATCTCTTCAATTCTAGGGTCATTCATTATCCATCCACCATATCCTTATAATCTTCACTTCTAATTTCCTCCTTTTATGTTTATATCACTCAGTAAGCTTCTATATTGAGTGACTCCAAGCCTTGAATTGGATGAACTCAAGTAAAAAAAAAAGTAATTATATGTATAATATATACATATTTAATTAAAAATAATTAATAAGGTACTTAAGTTTTTTATTATATTTTTCTTGTATGCAAACATGACCTTTCTTTTTGTGATTTAGGGAGTGTAAAATTGTCTAAATGATTGTTCATTCCAAGCACTTTTGGCTAATCTATAAGCAATTTTCAAGTAATTTTGCTGTGCTATTATAAATGGTATAATAGTTGCTGAAATGTAGATATATTCTTAGTTTCCAAAAACTGTCATTTTCTTAAGGGTTACTTTTTTGTCTTTTATGATAAAGGCTTCATTTATTTTTAAACTCTTTTTTTTTTTACAGTCCATATCACATTTATTTTGATGAGTATGTTTCATATGAAGTACAAAAATAAGAATTAGAAAAATACTTAAAGACATACACATATAAACCATCTAATCATTGTAAGGCCTTAACAAAATATGACATGAGTAAATGAATATAAGATTCTACTGTATTCTAAAGTGGTGGATCAGTTTTATATTGTTATTAAGTAATAAAGTGATTCTCTCAGCATTACTATATATTGGAAAAATATATTTAAATACTTATATATAAACCTTCTAATGATAAGTTCTTAACAAGGTATACTAGTATTTTTGATGGCATGGGTCAATGAATATAAGATTCTACTGGACGTAAAGTGGGGGATCTGTTTTCTATAATTATTAATTAATAAACCGATCCCCCAGAATTACCATATATTAATATAATAATTGGAAAAACTGTATTTGAAGACTCACTTGTTAAAACCTAATAATACTGAGAACTCAACAAAATATGCAATCATTTTTGATAGCATGGGTAAACTTGAGAGTAAATATGAAATATATAAATTTTGTAAAGTCATATCAATTAGCTCTTTATTGTGAACAAATTAACATGAAGAAATTTATGTAAAGATTATTATTTTGGACTAGTTTGAGACATGATATTTACACACGCTGTTTCTATCCAGGACGTTATTGATTTTTTTCTTCTGGACTTACTGACACAAGGGTTTGGTCAGAAGACTATCTTCATTCCACGTTGCTGGGAAACTGACCATTTGATGAAGATATTTATTGAATTCATCATTTACAGCTATCATTATCTTTCCTACACTTGATACATCTTTGTTAAATTTGTTGTGACACACAACATTGTGAATGAAACTTTTTCAAAATATTTAACAGCATTAATGCTTTTTCTGGAGTTATAGATAAAAAGGAAAAACCCAGTTGAATTTAAAAAGTATCAAACACAAAATTTCAGTTTTGTTATTTAAATCTTTGTCATGTATTCTGAGACTGTTGCAAAAATTTCCGAGATTTGCAGTCATATAATTTGATGTTATTATTCAACAATGATTCAAATATTTTCATTGGTTGTCTACAATCGCTTTAGCTAAATTGTGTCTTATAAAAGAATGATTGGATATTTTCAACTTGTTGAACTCATTGGTCAGAGAAAAATTGTTTCATGGACCAAAACAAGTAATAGGCTGAAGGTAATGTCAGTGGTGGGATTTGCTGTTTCCATTTCATATGTGATGCTATTTTTTAAAGAATTTTCTCTGCAGCAAAATTCTTTTGTTCCAGGAATAAAAAAATTTCCTGCTTATTTTATATGTTGAAAAATTTCCACCAGTCTATCACAGATATCACTTGTATTTGTTAAAATTCATAACCGATATGGATAATTCTTTATGAATATTATTTTTCAAAAAGCCAAAATCACATTATTTTTTTCTTTTTCTATAAACTGAACTTGTGTGTGTGTGTATATATATATATATATATATATATATATATATATATATATATATATATATATAGCCATTTTTATTGGATAAGCTAATTATAGGACAGAGCTGACCAACATTTTATATTACATGCATCAGATTTTCTGCAGACAGGATTTGCCATACAAATCTTCTATTGCTATTAATTCTACATAAATATATATATATATATAGCAAATATGTGGTGCAGTTCAATTTATATTACAATGAATCATTCATACAAAAAGTAGATTATTAAAGTTAATGATATAAAATGGTGTAATCCCTTCACAAACAATGCCACATTGACTGATAAACTCCTACAACAAAAAAATTCTCAAACTGCCATAATAGTAAAAAAAACAACCCCACTCTCTTAAATGTTCAAAAAATTCAACCATAGTGTTGCAACTGCATGCTCCAAAAGTTTGTATCCGTTAACAATAACACATTTAAAAAAAAACAACAAAAAAACAAATTCTATTCGCATTTAATTTTTCGTCTTGGATGCTACCTGAATTTTACCAAAAACAAAATAATTTCCATGCCTGAGGATGACTGAATGTACAGTTGAAAGTACTTGCATATTAAAGAAAGACCTTATGCAGCTTATAATTTTTAATAACGGGATCATAACATTCATCGCGCGATTTGTAGGTTAATGTACCTTTAAAATTTGCAAAGGGATTTCGCCATTTTATATCATTAACTTTACTAATCTACTTTTTGTATGAATGATTCATCGTAATATATATATATATATATATATATATACAAATATATTTAGTATTTTTATATGATCCTTGATTTAATATAAATTCAAGATCAGAATTACTTCCCATAATGAGACTTTTAAGTTTTGTTTTAATTTTGGCAACATTTTTAATATTTAGAGTTAAATTTGTCACTGAAAGCAACAGAGAATTCTTTAAATTTTGATCAGCCAAATGCAATTTCATTTTGGTGTTAATTAAATAACTGAAGATGCTTTTTCACACCTGTACATTGTTCCAAAACAAAAGCAAATAAAATTCTTTTAAATATTTCGTTAGTTCTAGAAAATATTCACCGCATAACGATTGCCTGGAATTAATAACGTTGGAAGCATCTCAGATTGAAAGAAGCACATTGAATTAATTTTCAATAATGAATTAAAGTCAACACGTTCTATCTCAAGGTCATTAGGCATCATCCTGATTTTTCGTTCACAAAATGAAAATAGGTTTATGAAAGCAAGTACGCAGTCTTCTTCAAAAACAAATTCTTGTAAATAGATTCCAAATGTCTCCTGCAATAACTTGATTCTTTTTTAATATATTTTGCAAAATTGCTATTAAGTGTGGAAACTGGCCCAAATTTGCATTTTCTAAGAGAAACAAAATCTTCATGAATTGAAAATCTTACATCTTCATGGCCCAAATTTGCATTTTCTAGCAAAGAAACGAGCAGTACCAATTTCATGTTGAATGCATTAATATTATTTACTAAGCTAGAAAAAAAATGTCTTTGTCCAGTAATTCCAAGATTAAGTCATTGAGATGGTTGCTAATATCAAGTAGATATCACAAAATAAAAGCACTTTCCTTTTCACTTTTAAAAAATTATAAATAGTATTATTTAGTTTACAATATCTAATGAAAAGCTGTCCTTTCAAAAGCTGACATATCACACAATGAAAGAAGATCTTCCCATTCTAAATAGAATATTTCATAATATTCTCTGAATTCTCATCAGTTCATTCGACTTGCTCTTATTCTATTAAGCTTATGGCCATATCACATTGAAACACCGGTTCTTGTATGATCACTGAAAGTTAAACAACATTGAGCCTAGTCAGTACTTAGGTGGGTGACTATTTGGGAATATCAGGTGCTGTAAGCTTGGATGTACAGATGGTATGGCTTAGGACTATATTCTGTTGAAACACCAGCTCTCATATTAAGCAATGTTGAAACTGGCCTGTACCTAGATGGGTGACTGCTTGGGAATACCAGGTGCTGAAAGTTTGAACATGTGGGTGGTGTAATGTATAATGGCTCAGAATTGGAGATCATAGAGTCAAGTACTAATTCCAGTTGGGTTTGTTATATTCACTTACATGCAAATACCCTTGGGAAAGGTATGAATCCACCTATTCTCCCACCAGCTATGTGGTAATTAGTAAGATATGTATCCCTAAACCATTATTATCTCAAAAAAAAAATTATGACAATTTAAAAATATTTTCTACCCTTAAATTGCAAAGGGTGAATAAGCCGTAGAAAATGAATCAATTACTGAAATACGGATTAGCTACACAGGCATGTCTTTTAGATTTATTTAAATTCTCTGAAGTATAGAAATTATCTTGATCAAAAAGTGAGGGATCAGATCATATATCGATTTTAATATAAAATTGATCTCCCACTTTATATCCCCAATATAATTTCTCGATAAGCTGTAGAAAACGAATCAATCAATCAATAAAATACTGATTTGCTATGCATACATGTCTTTTAGATTTATTTACAGTCTCTGGAATAGAAATATGTAGAAACTACCATTGCCACAAAGTGATGGATCAGTTTATATATTGATGGTGATATAGAATTGATCCCCCATTTATAGCCACATTATAATTCCTTATTTGTTTATCAAATTCTGATTAAGTATGAATCCACCTCTTCTCCCCCCAGCTATAGGTTAATTAGTAAGACATGTATTACTAAACTATTAAAAAAAAAATTACAATCTAAAAATATTTTCTGGCCTTAAATAACCTGCAAATGGTCGATAAACCATAGAAAATGAATGAATCAATCAATCAATCAAATGTAAAATAGTGAAACCTATAGAAAAATATATAAAGAGTATTTTTTTATAATAAAGAATGGAAATGTACAGGATTTTTGCATACCTAGGAAATAATGATATTTTTATTAAATTTTTAAATATTTCTCAATAAAATTATATAATAAAAAAATACAATTTTAAAAAATAATGATATGATTATTTCCTGGATACCATTATTTCATCTCACACTCACAGTTAGTAATTTTTTATTTTTCTTCTTTCAGTGTGAATATGAGTTTCATTTCAACTTTTGAAAAAAAAAAAAAAAAAAAGAAAAAAAAGAAAAGAAAAACGAGCATAAAGAAATCAAATCAATATTATCAGTTTGAACACAAATGCAGACCCCACAAGTTGCAATTTGGATTCAAAATTGCTTTATTCTTAGTTCTTTAAGTTAAAACATTTTAATGGTATTATTCAAATTAAAATCTCATCACTTTTGTTTTTGTTCACAAACACAACCACAAAAATGAATCAGATAATTTTTTTATCAGGTTGGACACAAATGCAGACCACAAATTATTAAGTTGTAAATTGAATGGGAAATTGACTTATTCTTCATTACACTGACAAAGCAAAAAATCTCATAATGCACCATTTTTTTATGTTAGAGTTAAAAAAAAAGAAAAAAAAAAGACACTTACTCTCAAACGAAAATTGAATCATTACAATACAAATTTCTTTTCTTTTTTTAAGCCCCAAACTGCTTTTCTAATTCCCATGGGAATGTTCTATAGGAAATAGTAACTGCTGAAAAGAACAAGACCTTAAATAAATTGGATTTACAACGTGTAGGATGTGGGCATATCACTTTACAACAACAGGATATTAATGTGCATTTCTTAAGACTAGCTGGTATGTGCTTGTCTTTATAAATGTACACATATATATGTCGACATTGTGATGAATTCACCAGATTGCCAAGCAGACAACGAAGACCTTAATCAGCAACCACTAGTTCCTTTAGTTAACATACTGCATTTCTACTCACAGATATTTTCTTAATTCATATGTTTTGGATTTCATTTTTCCTTCAAATGTGCTTTGGTCAGACAATAACATAAAATATTTTGAAGAAAGATCTTTTATTTGGATCATAAAGAAGTTGAATTCTTTTTAGTTAAATTGCAAAAATTTCCCAATTTTGAGGAATGAAAGGAAATAGGTCTTTTCAACTTAGTCTTAAACATTGCCATTATTATTAATTTTTAACTCGTCTTTCTTTCATCTTATTTCTCTTGCTTGTTTCCACCTCGTAGTAATAAGACATAATAGTCTTAAGTTGTTGGAATTTCTTATGCTATGTTGTGTACAATTCACCACATTGTTTTCTGGAAGCAAAGAAATTCCCAGAAGAGAAAACGAGACATGTTTTACCCTACAACATTCTATCAGTAAGGAGAGAAAAGCCAGATAATCCTGTGCTTTTCCTTTATATACTGTTTAATACAATGCCACCTATCAGGCATAAAGAGAAGTCCCCTGGCAGACAACATGAGGTAATCCCACAGTATCAACAGATGACTCTCAAATGTAAAGCTACTAGAAATGCAACTTTGCCAGAAATCTTTTTAGGTCACTATTAAAAAGAGTTGTTGCATTAGCTAGCATAAGTCAGATTTGGATCCAGATTTTGTAGATTGACCTTTCAAATGAAGTCAACCACTTCTATTCATCATAGGTGGGATCTCTTGTGAAGTTGGGTTATGTGAAAGTAACCTTGGATGGCAGTAGAGGAAGGATTCTGTATGTGGTGGTGTTCCTGCTCGGACATACCTTGCTTTTGTCATTTGAATAGCATCTATACAGACAGATCACCAACTGATTTTTGAGGTTGGCTAAGATATTACAGGTCTTCAGTATGGCCTTGATCTAGTCTCTGTATCGAAAGTACTGATGAGTGACAGTTCTTTTTCATGACTGCAATTCTATGAAGAAAGCAAGATGAAGACGTCTGTTCTCAGGCATGGGGACAAAGAAGCAGGGTCATATATTAACTACAGGGAATTCATAGATTGCAGCACTTTCATTGTATATTCATCTGAGTGAATTAACTTCATCTTTTAACAAAACAGCATTTTCTACGCCAAAATTGTTACCATGAAGGTTTTGATGGAATACCAAAGCACTGAGTGTTGCGTTTAAATTTGAGTCCTTCTTATGTTTGTATTTTCTTGAAATTTTTGATGATTTGCCAATGTATTTTGGGGTGGGGGCATTGTTTGCATCCTATTTACTAGACTCCTGCTTCTGATGTAAAGCAAATTGCTTGTTTCATTCTTTTTATGATATACGGTGGCTGTTAATAATTAAGTATAACTTGAGACTTCAATGTTAAGATAAAACAGTATTTAATTACAACCACAAATAAATACTTAACAATAACAAAGAAGTAAAAGTCAACTAAAGATAATTAACCATTTCAGTGAATACCTTGTTAGTAGCACAGCTCAGCTTAATGTCCAGTAAATCCTAAATCAAAACTCAAATCATCAATACACAATAATTCACACTAATTCGACTGGATAGTTCCACTGAATAGTCCCTGCAGTCAGTAGCCTGACATCGCTATTTATACACCTGGCAGAAAACATATATTCATAAGTGTTATATTCCATGCAAATAGGAATATATACTTGAAAAACAAGGAGGATAAAATAAGTAAAGGTTTATTGTAAAAACCAGTACAATAAGAATAAAAGTAACAGTTATGCACAAAGTTATCGCAAGACAATCCAGTAGTGAGTGCTGCTAATTGGAAGGTTGTTACTTCTCATGTAAGTGAGTCATACTCAACAGATCCCATCTAGTCTCTGTAGTCCATTAACTTGTACCTACCTATAGTGTAGTTACTCATGGGGGTGACAGGTTATTCTGTTACATCAATAAGTCCAGAGTGTCACGCTCAAACCTCGGTGTCAGTAGTTACTCATTTTCTTCCTATATGACATATTTTGATTAAATTTTTAGAAGATAAGTCACTCAGATGAATATACACTAAAATTGCCAACTAGGGAGGCTATAAAAACAGTGACCAATGTAAAATATAGAAGATATACAAAACAGGGCAAATATGAAATATGAATAAAACAACACTTATGTGTTAATGCTTTCCACAACTTGAGTTTTCATGTGGACACTTAGCTGTTGATGCTGTTGTTTCACAATCTGCAGTCAGTAAGTGTGATAAGATACTCAGATTCTTATGATAAAGAAATAATGGAGTATTGCTGCCATATATGGTCCGGTGCCCCTTTTGTTTGTCTCAAGATCCAGAGACGGATATGCAATGTAATTGGCCCTGATCTGGCATCTCATCTGCAGTCGCTCTCTCACAGACATGCCATCGTCTCCTTCTGTCTTTTTACAAATACTTTCATGGTAACTGCTCCGATGAGCTGCTTTCACTGGTTCCCAGACTTCATGAATTTAAGAATTCTACAAGGCTGGCATCTCGCTCACACCCTTTCACTGTTGAAACTGTTAAATGTAGCCGTCTCTTCTACTCCAATAGCTTCATGTCTCGCACTTCTCACCTGTGGAACTCCCTCCCCTTTTCTTGTTTCCCTGATAGCTATAATCTCCAACTATTCAAATGTAATGTCAATCAATGTCTCCAGATGCCTTGATCTATCCCCTATCCTTCTCTTCATCCTTTCCTCTATCAATCCTATTTGCTCTCACTCCAACTCTCTGTAACCCCTTGCATGCTAGTGGCTTCCTACCTTGGTTGGGGTGAAATGCTTAAAAAATAAATAAATAAAAAAAAAAATTTCTTCTTGCTATTTTTCTTAGTGACATGGACATGACACACAAGTTTTGAAATATCTTGAAACTATATCCAAATATTTCATGAGGATTACACAAATGATAAGATATTGAGTTCCTTATTATAAGATACTGAGTATATATATTCTCACTCTTACAACCTCCAGAATGTGAGAAAATATGATCAATATCTTAGTGTCTATTTACATCATCCAGACTGTTGTCCTCATCTTTATTGCCATATTCATGATGTTTTGGCTGTTGTATGCTCCAGTCTTC